CCTTTCTTCCCAAATTCCCACAACAAAATTCCCCATTTTGCAGAGATATTTCTTCTCAGCAGAAATCCAACCCGTATTTTGTCACAGTAAAACATGACCCTGTTCACAGAGTACTCTTGAGCTGAGTTCTGCTCCACTGGAGAATCCAACTCTYCCTGACCAAACCCAAACYGGTAAATCCCAGAATCCYAGACTGGTTTGGACTGGGAGGGACATCAAGGATTGACAGAGGGGACAGAGGGGACACCTTCCCCTCTCTCTCTTTCCCAGGCTGCTCCAAGCTGGGCACTGCCACGGACCCAGATCACCCTGGGATCACCCGGAATGTTCCTCCCCTCCACCACCCCGTTATTCCCAGTGTGAGGATCATTGGGATTTCTGTGGGGTCAGCTCGGGCTGTACCTGCAAGGCCAGAGTTGAAGACCACGGTGGGAGAGGCTGTGCCGGGCAGAGGAGGAGCCGAGGGTGGCGGAGGCGGCAGCGGAGCCAACGGAGCCGCGTCCGGAGCTGCATCCAGAGCTGGGCCCGGCAGAGGAGGAGGAGGAGGAGGAGGAGGAGGAGGGGGTGGAGGAGGGGGTGGGGGTGGCCCTGGCACTGCCACGGGGCCGTTGGGCACTGCAGAAACAGGGAAAAGCAGAGTTAGCGGGATGGAAATGGCACAGCGTCCCCCAAATCCCCTCCCCAGCGGCACCAAGGGACCCTGAAGGGACCCCTGCAGCTCCTGAAGGGACCTCAAGGATGGTGGGGTCGGTTCTGCCATCCAAGGAAAAACAGGAGGGAGAGGGGGAGCAGAGGGGATTTGGGATCTGCTCCAGGGAACAGGGACAGATCTCTGCATCAGCTGCTTTTCCAGTTCCACAATATCACCACAGGAGGAGTGGGAATGGCCTCGGTAGGGGCAGGGGGGACATTGGGAAGGATTTCCCCATGGAAAGGGGGTCAGGAACTGGAACTGCCCCAACTGGGAATGGTTTGGAGCCCCAAGAGGGACCCCTCACTCCTCACCTGCCTCAGGGGAGCCGGGCAGGGTGGGCAGGGGGGGTGGTGGTGGCACTGAGGGGGTGGCCCCGGGGCTGGCACCGCTCCCTGGCACCACCTCCGACCCCAACCCTGACCCCAACCCCGACCCCGCTGGCACCAGCCCCGAGCCCAGAGCCACCGGCAGGATGGAGATGTCCCCGTCCCCTTTCTTCTGGATCTTGATGGTTCCCTGCTTCTCCAGCTCGTGGATCTTCTTCTCCAGCGTGGACTGGCGCTGGATGGCCTCCTCCTTCTCCTTCACCATCTTCCTCAGGGTGTGCACCTGGCTGTTGGCATCCTTGTAGATCTCCTGGAAAAACAGGGGATGGGCATTTGGAATCCCGGGGTCAGGGTTGGAACAGCCTGGAGGGGTTATTGGGGACAGGGGATGGCCCAGGGCAGCCCCTCCAAAGGAACCCCGAAATCCTGCACCTCCGGGAGCCCAAAATCCTGCACCTCCGGGAGCCCAAAATCCTGCACCTCCGGGA